ATGCTAACCTATCTTATGGGTATGCGGATCTATACCAACATTTCATAAAACAGCTCATTGTATATTTAAAGTCTACAACTGCTAAAAGTGGGTTTTTCTGCCTGAATTCCACGAAAGTGTTTGCTTTCTATGCTATCGTTTGATGTTTACTATGTTTTGCGAAAGTCCCAAATGTAGTTACTTCAACAGTTGTTTGATGCTTTGGCGCTAAATCTCCTATTGTGATAGCAGTCTGAAACATTTGTTTGAATTCGTCAAGCAACTCATAAATAGCGTGGATGCTTAGATCAAAACGATGACACGACCGTCTATGTAAGCCCTAAATTAGTAATGGCTAAACGTTTAGCCCTTATCCTCCATAAGCATAGCACGCACAGCTATTTCAGTTACGAACGCATATTGTGTAAGAATGATGGACACGCTCACATATCAAATGGGATAATGATTAGGTTTAACATTTATGTTATGCTAAAAGCGATACTTTCAGATTATTTTAGAATATAAAGGAGAAGATTTGAAACCGTCGTCACAGCACAACACGCGTACAATACTCAGGAAAGCCAAGAGAATGTTTAAGCCATTTTGCCGCCATACCATAGACTCGGTTCAAAACGCAAAACTAATGTTCACGAAAGATAATCATTATTTGTGCCTTGTTGAAATATGCCTCTGGGTTACAGAGAGCATGGATAACTTTAAAATATTTACTTTGATTCGCGAACCCATATTCACAGAGGCAATAAGCAATAAAACTTGTGGATAAGCAAGTGCTATAATCAAAATTGGAGAGGGCCCCACCACTCAAATACGGTTCCGGTTACATTAATAAAAGAAGATGTTACCTTGATAACCTAAGTGGTGATATATTTGGCGATGAAGATGAGCGAGGCGTGGTAGGACTACAAATGCCCCAATTAGTAGCTGTACATATTGAGCTAATTAAGGCTAATTGATAGTCTGATCTATTAATATGTTTACAGTCTGATAACGAAGGGGTTGTGTCTTTCTTACAATTTCCACCCAGCAAAAACTTAGCACACGATCAGTGAAATATTATCGACGGCTTCATCATGATACAACTGACAAAATGACAACATTTATTTGCGGAAATTCTAGGCGTAAAACGCGTGTACAAACCTTACATTAAGCGGAATAATGAGTCTTATTTTTGTTTGCGTCTTGTCGGCGTTTTGGACCGGACATAAGATAATAAAAAGGTGTATGAAGCGACTTGGAGGAAATATGTGAGCCGATCCGTCTTTGTCGGATGCAGTTTTATTTGCTGTTCACCATGCAGCTGCCTGTTAGGACTATAATCCAGATGAACATTTATACAATTGAACGCCATTACTCCACCGTCTGCAGAATTGTCTAGAAAACCTATTGAGATAACAGTCACTCATGGATTGTGCTTGAAAACGCAGCAGCAACTAAGCAGATGTTCAATTATCTTCACCTCATGTAGTTATTAACTCACGTCGTAGTACAGTTTTTGGGTTGAGGAAAGAAAAACGTTCTGACATAACCTATAAGCAGCAAGCGAAAAAGACCCTTCTGACTATTACTTAAATGATGCAGTCATTGAACGTTACACTATTCAAAAATACTGGGTAGTCTACGTAAGCATCCTACATGCATACTTCTGGTCTCCAGCATTTACAGTTAATATTCTGACATCCCACAATAGTGTGAACTGCATTTTATGTCAAATTGGTTGCTGCACCGGTGCCAAGAACTTTAGCTTCCACCCTGTTGAACAGAGGGGAACTAGCCAGGCAGAAGTTAAGAGGTTTGCATTTCGGCATTTTTGACGGCCATCAGGGCTTATTGGGTCTCATTATAACAGAATAGTGCACGCTCATGACCATAAAAATTTAAGAGCGGATTTAATAACACACATCTTTAGATATTTAAAAGTAAGTTCTGTATACCGTACATCTTAAGTGTCAGCTTCAAATTAATATTTACCACCTGATCCTATAAAAACTGCATTCTTCACCTGAGAGTCGCAAAGCAGACCCCAATATCAAAAACACATGATGGGAAACTTTGACGGTTTGCTGTCACATCAAATGCTAGCTGTTCTTACTAAAAAATAGAGCAACTTTTGACCTGTGCTTACGATGGGTCATGCCTATCCCCGCATAGGCAGATAACTAAACGCCACTTCTTCCTGATGTGTGTGCTGGTGCCGGGTGAGAATTGGTTTCCCCAAATTTAGTCATTTTGATGCAGTCGAAATAGGAAACGCATTTTTACTAGGTTGCATGGTTTCAGTAGTGTTGTAATATCGATTAGCACTAAGGATTCTTTAAAGTATTTAGGCCACGTCAGGTATCCGCAGGACATGCGGCGAAGAGAACTTTTGATTGGTCATGCGTTCGCGTCTTAATCCATTTGCTAGCAAGTATTAATCTGACTGATGCGTTTCATCTATCATGCGTCCCATTGCGGCCGGACGAAATTGCTGTAGTACAGCGCGAAATATCTGACATTGCTAAATCCTCTCATTTCCACAATGTCGCATAATTCACGAGGTCGGGCAAAAGGCGGCTCTAAATTTCATGGCGATTCTGTAGTACCCAACATCGAATATTAAATTAGTGTTCGCACAGTTAATTGCTTATTAACATTGCTTCACTCTGACACGCTCTGCTGAAGATTTGCTTGACAATATATACAAGGTATACCACTGTCAGCAGTCACTGACTTTTAGATTTTTGTAGTAAAACATGCATATAAATCACGTTTTTGTTCCCGAATATTACATTGCGGAATATTACCTTGTTACCTTATTGTTTCAGGAAATTGACTATACTTCTCTCATAATTTCGGTTTGTGAATGAAATTAAGAGAGCACCCATCAATTCTCTATTTGATGCTAAACACTCCGTCCAAAATATATCGTGGACGATGAAAAGGTGAACAATCTAGGTCATTATTAGAAAGAAATCAATAGTTTGCAGTAAGTGCTCCGTTTGTCAGTTAATTCTTCTCAAATCAATGAATAGGGACTTCATCATATAAGGGGAATATTTTGAATAGGTATGAATTTATTTGCACACGCGTTTACAAACCTACCAACAGCAGGACCATTTAGATACCTCAAATGTGGCTTAAAGGAATGCGATATTAACTAAAGTTTCTGAGCTGCAGTCTCAGCATCGTGTAAGTGTTAAGCCATTTTAAACAGCAATGCCGCTACTGAGAGCTGACTCAGCCTATGCCTTCCCTTATGTGATTGCTTACACGGTCCAAACAAAATCTCAGAAAAAACATATTAACCGGCCATTGATTTTGATTTTGAATAAGGTGGCGTCGTCACCATAGTGGTTTTGCAGTACCGCTTGGCTTGCAGCATAAACATTCACTTTTTCACTTACGCCGTGATGTCGGTTTTTAAATCTGCTTCTTCCTGTCCACATTAAAAATAACAAACTCAGCACAGTAAAGAAAGATTTGTGGTGTTAAGCTTTTTTTCAAAAATCATCAATGTCCCTTTAAATTCAAAAAAATTTAATGGAAAATATGCAATAACATATGTTTGTACCGGTTTAGCAAACATCTCACTGCCTCATTACTTGTTTTACTAAATAACAGGGTATGCTCTAATTTCAAAAGGGTTTCCGACTGTAGGACTTTTTTTAACGCTATGTGATATTTATTTAAACAGCCTAGTATCTGACTACTTTTCTACTTCCCCTGGGCAATGCGACAGTTCGACCGTCGATTTCGACGATGTCCACCGTGTGTCCCACAGCAGGTGGGAGCAGGGACGGTGACTTGCGCAGGGGTTTATAGTACGGGTAGACTTGCGCTGCATCTACCTACACTCTCTCCTCCTCCCCCGCCTGGGCCCGGTGTCAAGACAGAGTCAAGAAGACCGGAGACGAGGGAGGCCGCAGGTGGATGGCTCGGACGGATCCTCACCTTGGCGTTCCAACACACCCCCTGGTCCAAACAACAATAACCAGGATTTCAACCAACACAACAGAGATTTGGAGGCTGGCACGGCCGAAGCCGCACCTGGGCGTGCCGCCAACGCCTGGCGGTGGTGGGAGTGCCATAAAGGCCACATTAAAAAGGAGCCATTGCAGCCTGACTCTCAGACTGCCTCCCGTGAAGTAGGAGGTCCAAGGTACCCCGTCAGTTGGCAACCTTCCAAGCCACGGCTTTGAGCGCACCGTGATAGCTTCAAGCGCGTCAGATTGATTATAGTGAGGAAAATGCGCTGAGTCGTCGACCTCACTCTCCCTTCCCATTCCCACACCCCATCCACTGTCCGAGCCGGTCAGTAGACTGGAGTGGGGAATGGGCGCGGTGGCTGACATGGTCGACTGACCATGCCTGCGCGCGCCACAGCACGACCTGGCCCCCCATACACACAAACACCAGGATTTCACACAACGGGGGTTGAACGTCGTGTCTCTCACTTGCGTGAGAGTGCTGTGGAAGGTGCTGTTGCAGCCCGTCCCCAGCCCACCAGTCCGCCACTCCACACAACACACACACACACAACGTGACGAACTGCGTGAACCGAGAGCGGGCCTCAATCAGCAACCTTCCTATCCACGACACTTGGCGTGTCGGGATAGTCTCGGACACAAGTCACCCGTGCAGCCGAAACCGCATGGGGACCGAGTCGAGATGCACACTTCCCACTTGCGTGGGAGGCGGCAGTTGAGTGCATGAGGTGTATGAGGGTTGATGTCTGGTGGGGTGATGGTGTTAGGAGGTACGGGGTGAGGGAATGTGTGGTGTGACCGGCGGTTGTCTACCGCAGGTCGTCGTGGATGCGCATGTGGCCGAATAGACCCATGCGATGCGTGAAGGTGCGGGGGCAGTGTGGACAGTGGAGGCGAGTGCGGTGGGTGTAGTTTGGTGCTCCAGGCACTGGTTCGCCAGGCCCTGTGCGATGGATTCGCAAGTGACCCACCAGGCCGATGCGTGAGGTGAAGGTGCGTGGACAATGTGGGCATGAGAGGTCGGCGATGTCGGTGTCAGCTGTTGAAGGCGGGCGGGGGGACGATGGCTGGAGCAGTTCGAGAGGTGCAGTTGGTTCGGAGATGTCCAACAAGTCCGATTCGTGCCCGGAATGTCCGTTGACATCGAGGACACGTAGGGGGAGGTTGTGCGGCGGCGTTGCGGACTGGGCGAAGTTGTGATTTGCGGGCTTCGCGTTTCGCTTTGGCGGCGGCGAAACGGTTGGCTTCATAGATAGCAGCGCCCGTCTTCACTGTTCCCCTCCATGTCGTACGATCGCGAGCGAGCTCTTCCCAGTTGGTCGGGTTGATTTGCAGGCGCTTCAGGGAGGACTTCAAGGTATCCTTGTAACGGCGAATTTGGCCTCCTTGACGACGAGAACCCGTCGCGACGTCTCCGTAGAAGAGTCGTTTGGGTTGTCGCTCGTCGTCCATGCGCACCAGGTGGCCGCTCCAGCGCAGCTGCATTTGTTTCAGTATGGCGTAGATGCTGGGGATTCCCGTTCATTCCAGTGCTTCCGTGTCGGGGATTCGATCCTGCCAGTTCAGCCTCAGGATGCGACGGAGACAACTGAGGTGGAAGTGGTTCAGTCGGCGTGCCTGTCTCGTGTACACCGTCCATGTCTCTGCTCCGTACAGTAACGTCGGCAGGATGACGGCCTTGTACATCTTCAGCTTCGTGCTCAGTTGGAGACCGTGGCGATTCCAAACTGTGCTTCGGAGACGACCGAAGCCTTGAATGGCTTTCGAGATCCTGTTGGCGACTTCGTCATCAATCTTGGTGTTGCGGGAGAGGGTACTGCCCAGATACGGGAAGTTCTTCACCACTTGCAGTTGATTTCCGTTCACGCTGATTTACGGCGGCGCGTTGGGGCCTGTGGCTGAGTTGGGAGGCGGCTGATGCATCAGCACCGTCATCTGCGTGTTGATAACCAGCCCAAAGTTCTCGCAGGCGGCGGAGAATAGGTCCATGCTCCGTTGCATCTCCTCTTCCGAGGTGGTGTTCAGGGCGCAGTCGTCGGCGAAAAGGAGTTCGTGCACGGTGGCTGTGGATACACGCGATTGGAAGTTCATGCATAGGTGATTCAGGAGATGACCGTTCGTTCTGTAGGCGATGCAGATTCCAGGGCGTTCGTCGCGGTAGGCGTCCATCAGCATGGCAGAGAACATGAGACTAAAGAGGGTAGGCGCCAGCACACAGCCCTGCTTCACTCCGTTGGTCACTGCGAATGCCTCTGAGACAGCTCCGTTGTCCGTGACTCGCGCCATCATACCGTCGTGCAGCTGACGCACCAATTGAGTAAATCGCTCCGGACAGCCGAATTTCTGCATGATCTTCCACAGTCCTTCACGATGCACCGTGTCGAAGGCTTTCGTCAGGTCCACGAAGGTAGAGTACAGGTGGGTCGGCATCTCCTGGCACTTCTCCTGAAGTTGGCGGGCTGCGAAGATCATATCCGTGGTCCCACGATGACGACGGAAGCCGCATTGGCTTTCCGGCAGAAGGCCCTGTTCCAGATGGTTGTTGAGGTGGTTGAGCAGGATGCGAACGAAGATCTCCCCGGCGATGTTCAGTAGGGAGATGCCGCGGTGGTTGTCGCAGACTTGGCGATTCCCTTTTCGCTTGTAAAGGTGCACGATAGTTGCGTCCTTGAAATCTTGCGGGACTTCACCTTGACGCCACATTTCCTGGAAGAGCGCAGTCAGGTGATCCATCAGTAGGGGACCTCTGTGCTTGTAGACCTCAGCAGGGATTGCGTCCGATCCGGGTGCTTTCCCGCTGGAGAGCTGCTGCACGGCCCTGATCGTTTCCTGGAGAGATGGCGGGAGGTCGAGGTCCGCGTTGGTCGCCACTTGCGGCAAGCGGGCGATGGCGGCGTCGGAGATGACGGAAGGGCGGTTGAGGACGCCTCGAAAGTGCTCGGCCCATCGCTGTAGGATTTGCGTCTTCTCAGTCAGGAGGGTGCTGCCGTCGGCGCTGAGGAGAGGAGCAGTGCCCTTCGTCGGCGGACCGTAAACAGCTTTGATCGCGGAGAAGAAGTTCTTCCATTCGTTGCGGTCCGCGTAGCCTTGGATCTCCTCAGCTTTGCGAGCAGTCCAGGCGTCCTGCATCTCGCGCAGTCGTTGCTGAAGCTGTCGGCGACTGCGGTAGAAGGCAGCTTTGTTGTCCTCAGTGGGGTGATCTACGTAGGCTTTGTGGGGGCGGTTCTTCTCAGCAAGCAGATTTCTGATGGCGGCGTCGTTGTCGTCGAACCAGTCCTGGTGTTGGCCGGGAGCGCGACCGAGGACGGCGAGCGCCGTCGATTGGATTGTGTCACGCAGTTGACACCAGCGGTTTTCCACGGAGGCGTTCTCGGCAGCGGTGGCGGCGGCGTCGTCGGCGACGGCAGCGATAGGAAGGTTGTCTAGCCTTTGTGCTAGCTCATTGCTGTAATGGAGACGGTGAGCAGACAAAGACAACAAAGCAACATTCAGCTTACCTGGGGGTCGCTTACCTTGTGGTCTCCTGCGAGGCTGTAGGCGAATACGCATCTTCGAGATGACGAGGCGATGGTCGGTCCACCCGTCAGCACCCGCGATCGCCTTCGTCACCAGCACGTCCCGCTGATCTCGCCTCCGGACGAGGACATAGTCCAGCAGGTGCCACTGACGCGGCCGAGGATGCCTCCAGGTGGCCTTCTCTCGCTCCGGCAGACAGAAGAACGTGTTCGTCAGGATGAGGCGGTGTTCTGCGCAGGCGCGAAGCAGTAGCAGACCATTGTCGTTGGAGCCGCGGAGACCGTGGGGGCCCAGCACTCCCCTCCAGGCAGTATGGTCTGTGCCGACGCGGGCGTTGAAGTCGCCAAGGACAATCAAATTGTCCGCCTTCGACACAGACGCCAAGAGGGCGTGCAGGTCCTCGTAGAACTTGTCTCTTGCGGCGGCGTCGGGGCTGCTCATCGGCGGAGCGTAGGCGCTGATGATTGTGGCGAATTTGCCCCCACCCCGCAGCGGCAGACGGAGGCTCATCAGGCGATCGTTGATACCCTGCGGCAAACAGGGTAGTCGTCCCACGATGTCGTTCCGGATGGCGAAGGCGACACCCGCGTCTCGTCGCTCTGCCTTGGGTCGACCACTCTAGAAGAAGGTGTAGCCGGCACCCAACTCCTCCAGTTGGCCTTGTTCGGAGAATCGGGTCTCGCTGAGTGCGGCGATGTCCACCTTGTAGCGCGCCAGTTCTCGTGCCACTAGCGCCGTCCTCCGTTCCGGTCGGTTGCTCCTCGGATTGTCTAAAAGGGAACGAACATTCCAGGCCGCTAGAGTGAGCGGACTCACCCTGCCAGTCTGGCGACTGCGGCGGCGAAAAGTAGGAGTAGGAGAAGAAGAAGAAGAAGAATAGGCTGGAAGAGGAAGAGAGTGATTGTTGTTGTTGTTGTTGTTTCGGTTTTGGCTGTTTCGACCGTGTGTTTTTTGTCTGCGGCCACGGCCAGCCTACAGACAGCGTGGTTCCCAGCGATCTTTAGGGCACCTTTTCTAGCCCCCTCCCCCTCGCGGGGGCAGGCAACGCATCCCTGAACAGGGCTGCCCGGTTATCCCAGACGGCTGCCGGACTCCACTATGGGCCACGACTTTTTGTTAGTGAGAGAACGACCCGAATTAGCCTGGGACCTTGGTGGTGAGGTGATGATGTGATGGAGTGAAGTAGGAGAGAGCATACACACTA